CTTTCAAACCGGCAGTCTAAATCCCACAGGGATCAACTAACGATTTTTATTCCACTAATTTATTCATGTTTTTCTAGTTGCCATGTTCCCACCAATAACGTAGCTCCATTTTCTGCCTTTAAAAGCACACACAACCCACAATTCCTCTATTCGCTCCGACGAAGGGGTAACGCTCGAAACGTCAGCTTTTGTATTCGTTACGGTGGCCAATTTACCACTTCAACTTTGTTGATATATCCAAATTATTTGATTTTCTGTGCCCAGTCAAAATACGGAAAATCGGCTGTCATCTTGCTCCACGGCCTAGTTTAAAGAGGAATGGCTCTAGCAGGTAATGTGACGTCAAATCGAGAACACGAAAGTCTGCATTTCACACATTTTCACATGTTTGGGAAGGTTGTCATCGATAGTGGTCTAGTTAATTACTTTTTCTTGGTGCTCAATAATATCTTTAAAGACCTTTGACTTCCAAAACATAGTAATCCTTTATTTGTAAAAACACTAATTTCAATGGAAAAATGTCTGATAGACCCCCATTAGAAGCATTTTTTAAGTGGGAATTGAGAATGGAAAGTCTCTCATTAGCATATGCAGCGCCCACGACGTGAACCGCTGACTGTCGTCGATTTCTTGGCATGATTCGCTCTGACGAAGGGCTAACGCTCAAAACGTCAGCTTTTGAAATCGTTTCGGTGGCCAATTTACCTTTCCTTATTCACTCCTTGCTGTTTTACTTCTCACTTTTCAGTCGTAACTTAACGGTTCAGAGGTGTGTTCTTGGAAATGTACGCCTGCTCCTGACGCAAAACACAGGCTGCTTTTCATTATGAACTTGTCCGCTTTAAGCCTTTGAACATGCAAGATGGAAACCCCGTGACAATGGACAGAGGACCGTAAAACGAATTAAATTTAGAGAACAGAAAGGCGAAATCAAGATTTGAAAAGGGAAAACCTCTGGAAGAATAACACGGTTTCTTCTTTGTTTTGACCTGAGGAACATTAGGAATAAAAGATATTACTATCGAAAAATTGAGGTGTTTTTTCTAGGTTCCTTTCATAATTTCTGAAGAAAACATTTTTATCTATTTTTGAGCTGAAGTCAAAATGCCTTTAGTTATATTCTAAGTCAAATTAAAATTATAGCATAATTTTGATCGATGTTCATTCATTTGATAGTCTTTGGTGGTAACGATCCATCGATTAAAATCTTAATTGTTTTTTGGGCGTTGACTAGTTTTGCACATGCTGTCATTACTATTGGTATTCACGATGCGTATTTTTCTTTTTAATAATTATCATCGTCGTTGTTAAGTGATAATAGTCTTCTTATTTGAAGGGAAATAGGAAAATCTAATCTGAATAGGGGTCCTTGTTAGTGCATAAAATTAAATGGAGTGAGTTTCTGTAAGTCCAAACTCTAGTATTATGTCGATGGGAGGGGAGGGAAGGGGAGGTATTAAAAGATAATTTAAATTCATCAACTGAATTGATAATGCGAATTTACCCCCGTAGAGAGGCTTTAATGCTGCCGTTTCCAGCGGTAGCCCTTTTTCAGAGCGAAACGAGGTACTCTTCGATTCTCTGTTTTGCTCTTAAAGCCGGGCAGTAGCCTTTGGTAGATTCTTACACCGTTTTGGTTCGGAATACTGTGCTAGCTTGCAATATTACACTTATAACGATTTCAAGGTTGTTTCATTTATACTCATTAAATTTCAAGATTTGTTTTGATCATCGTCGGTACATGTCTGGTTCCCCCCGATGATCTGCCAAGCGATTTAGTATATTGGAGTTTCAATTTAAAATCGTCGATTTCTGTTTCGATTTTTCCTCTCACTTAACACTTTATTTCCATATTTGCCAACACTTAATAATAATAATAATGATGATGATGATAATAATAATTTAGTTCTTATATAGCGCTAGGATTTCAAAGGTAGATGCTCGCCACCGCTTTTCAATGTTTTCCAAATAAAATAAAATCAAGTTAAGTTACAAAATGACAAATCTATAAATACTCCCGCTATTTACAGCAAGGCATATTAAATGAAATTGGCAGTTCCTTACACTATTTGAATGGACAAAATCTTAACTACTTTTCACAATTAATGAATATATCAAAGGTCAAAAGTAATACGAAAAAGATTCGTTTTTAACGCTGACTCAAAAATATGCACGTATACGTAATTTACGCTACAAATTTTAGACGGTAGTTTGTTCCAAAGCGCTGGCGATAAAACCGATAAAACCGCAGTCACCGAAGGTTTAGAAACTCTTTATCCTAAGCGGCTGCAGTAAGAGTCCGTTGAATGATCTGAGATGATAAATGTTTATCAATGTGTTTATTTCTAAGCTTTATCGTCATCGAAAAAGTGTTTTCCCACAGAGACTCGATCCGCAAGGCCAGGGAAGCTCTTTTAATTTCAAGAGGCAATACTATTTATCCCGATGACCTTAACGCTCGCGAAGAAATGTATCAGAGTTTTTTTTGCTTTTACTATTCTTACTTCTAGTTATTTAATTTTTTCAATTTACCCCACTTTACTTCTATTTTTATTTACTATTTCTATTTTTAATTGTTATCTCATTGTCGATCAAATTAGTTTTACATATTTCCGTTATTACATCATACAGCTATCTAAGTACTACCTTATTTTATGTCAATTCCCACTGCACCTGAAGAAGGCTGGTTTGACCAGCCGAAATATAGTGCTCCGCCTTAAAACTTATCTTCGTTGTATCGGTCTTGCCTCTATATTCATATTCGTTATTTTGGACCGATTAGATCACTGTTGATCCAACGTACAAGAGTAGGATTATCGTCCACGGTTGCTTGCTGAACATTTCACAGTTATCTCTAAGACCTTTTTCTCGATTTATTTGTACCAGTGGGAGACCGATATACCGTAGTGATTGCGCGATGCGTCAAGCAGTCAGGTTTCATTCCATTTTGTCCATCACAAGTATTATTACGGACAGAATTGGACGACAGATTTCCTGTTACCAATTAATCATAACCATTAAAATCTCCACAAAAAGAAAAAACAATACATTTAATGGACGAAAGGCTTTTAATATTAATTATCCAAAACATCGTCAAAAGTAAAATACTTTTAGGGGACTTTAGGAAGCCATTGACAAGAAGTTTTGGGTTGTTAAAGAAAAAAATAGTTGTTAGGGATGGTTTGCCCCTCCGGTCCCCCCTTGTGCAGATCACATGGTCTTAGCGACCATGTGCTCAAATCGTTGTGCGTTGTTTGTGCGTAGTAAGGTTTGCTTTTTTTGTCTTTTGATGTCGATGTTCGGTTTAGCTTTAAGATGGCCAAAAATATGTAAGTTGTCGCTTTGTGTGTTATTCTTTTTCTTGTAATTCAATATTTGTTTCAGTTTCGAGTCTAGCTTTCTGTTTTATGTAATTTGTAGCTGTACCGAATGAGAAGATCGCGTTCAGATTAAACATCTCCAGTTCACAACATTTTTAGTCTGAGATTATCTTCCACATTTCAATTTACCCCACTTTACTTCTATTTTTATTTACTATTTCTATTTTTAATTGTTATCTCATTGTCGATCAAATTAGTTTTACATATTTCCGCTATTACATCATACAGCTATCCAAGTACTACCTTATTCTATGTCAATTCCCACTGCACCTGAAGAAGGCTGGTTTGACCAGCCGAAATATAGTGCTCCGCCTTAAAACTTATCTACGTTGTATCGGTCTTGCCTCTATATTTATATTAGTTATTTTGGACCGATTAGATCACTGTTGATCCAACGTACAAGAGTAGGATTATCGTCCACGGTTGCTTGGTGAACATTTCACAGTTATCTCTAAGACCTTTTTCTCGATTTATTTGTACCAGTGGGGGACCGATATACCGTAGTGATTGCGCGATGCGTCAAGCAGTCAGGTTTGATTCCATTTTGTCTATCACAAGTATGATTACGGACAGAATTGGACGACAGAGGTCCTCTTACCAATTAATCATAACCATTAAAATTTCCACAAAAAGAAAAAACAATACATTTAATGGACGAAAGGCTTTTAATATTAATTATCCAAAACATCGTCAAAAGTAAAATACCTTTAGGGGACTTTAGGAAGCTATTGACAAGAAGTTTTGGGTTGTTAAAGAAAAAAATAGTTGTTAGGGATAGCTTGCCCCTCCGGTCCCCCTTGTGCAGATCACATGGCCTTAGCGACCATGTGCTCAAATCGTTGTGTGTTGTTTGTGCGTAGTAAGGTTTGCTTTTTTTGTCTTTTGATGTCGATGTTCGGTTTAGCTTGGAGATGGCCAAAAATATGTAAGTTGTCGCTTTGTGTGTTATTCTTTTTCTTGTAATTCAATACTTGTTTCAGTTTCGAGTCTAGCTTTCTGTTTTATGTAATTTGTAGCTGTACAGAATGAGAAGATCGCGTTCAGATTAAACATCTCCAGTTCACAACATTTAGTCTGAAATTATCTTCAACAATAGTATTGGCTCACGGGAGTGAGGAGACTGTTTTCGGAAGGGTTTTTGTTTTTTCGTTGTTGTCTTTGGGTTGTCCGCAGTGTTTCTTTTTATTCAGTTAATCAAGTTTGAGTTTGAAACCCACGATAGATAAGCACTTATCGGCATTAATTTATTGAAGGTGAACATTCTCATTAAATTACAATTTCACTGACCATGAATGCTGAGCGAGTGTACATATTACAGCTAGGGAAACAGAATTGACAGGAAAATATAATACCTACATGGATAGCCTTGAGCCAAAATTAAAAAAGAAAAAAAGCATTCTCATCCCAACTGTCTTCCTCTTTCACCTCGGGTAGAGAGAAAGGATATGGCAGTCCCCAAACATTGAAACAAACCTATACTATGATTTACCCTTTATCTCAATACTATCCGACGTTTGTCTTTCTAAAAATGTTAATCAGGCTCTTGTTTTGTAATCTGACATTTGACATTGTAATCTGGCTTTTAAAATCAACGAAGAGATATTCTCCATAAGAGAAGATTCAAACGTACCATGCATATACATCAGCACAAACTTTACCACTGTTGTTTCCCTCTGAAGTGTCTTTCCAATCCTGTCCGTACCATATCTGCATCTCTTGGTTGCTCGAAACAGACAACGGATCGATGAGGTGGCGAAAAACCAGCTCAGTTGAATAAAGGTGATATCCAGGAAGACTGTACGTATAACTTTTCAGGTCTTTAGCAGGCGGAAAGACAAGTTTCTTATCGGCGTCTGTGATGATTGTCATCAACTTTCCTCCAAATTCTGGATGAGTGCAGCCCCAGTAGCATGCAGCATACGTAGGGTTGCACTTCACCGACCCTGATCTGTAAATAAGCTTCATTGTCTTCACTCGTCCACTCATTGTCATATTAGAGGAACCATACAGATTATCTTTGGTTCCAAAACAGACGGGTTCTTCACCATTTATCTTTTGCCATCCCTCTAAGATAAAGTAGTTGAATAATAGAATATGAAAATCAGAGAGTTTCTTTCACAGGTTCAACCGTATTTTATAAATCGCGAGTAACGGTCAATGTGTTTTGCGAATGGAAACTGGCAGCCACTTGCAGGATAATTTTCAGTGACAATCAGGGTAAACCATCGTCCTATCATTATTTGTTTTAATCTATTCACATTCGTCAATCAAAACAATTTTGTAGAAGAAAGAGAACAATTCATGTTAATGACTTATCTTCTTGTCCGAGTTTATCTTCTTATTGGAATTACTGAAAACAAACCCCCTTTTTTTTTGTTCTAATTCACTTTTTGGCAGAAACACTGCCTCGAGACAATACTTTAGTAAGTTTAAAAAAATTCGGGATAAAAAAAACACGTTAAGGAGGTGGTGGGGTGAAAAATGGGTCAAACAATCCTATGAAATCATTTACCGTTACAATAAGCCTCGATGACCTCGCTATTCTCTTCAGAGTAGATCCAGTATTTCCCGTCAGCCATCTCGTCGCCTTCACTCGCTTTAATCTCACTGCAGGTATCCGCTGGAAGTTCTTTGATAGATCCGAGGAGAACTGCGACAATAAAAGAGCAAATTCATACAAGTAATTGGAGATAGTTTTTACACTCTCATGCTATTCGATAAGTCCTGATGCGATTTCAGCAAACGATAATTAATATATAAGGAATAACAGGATAGGAAGGAGAGCTTCCAGCTTCCCTACCTGCTTAAAAGCAGGTGGCAATGAATGCTGTGTTAATTCTTGTCGATTTAGACTAAGAAATGAGATGGAAGGCAACAACAATGACACAGAGATACAAGCTAAAGTTGCGATATTATCGTGAGGCAATTGTCTAAGTAACAATGATGTTGCGATTCTGAAACGTTGCTTTCACATCTGTCTTTAAAACAAAAATGAAAATCAAATCATCCAAACGCCAGAAAATGTTGCCTCCGAAATTTGAGATTTATGTAACCGTGCAGATTGAGGAAAAAAACTAAAAAATAAAAAGGAAAAGAAAAGAAAAAGTCTGCTTAGAATCGCAAATGCAAAGAGGTAGTTGAGGGAACCCCCAGCTTACCTCTTTTTCCAGAACGTTTCATGTAAAATCTCATCTGATCTGGAATGAAATCTTCTGGTCTTGCTTCCTTTGTACGATTGTTCAGTTCGCAGATGTTTTGACCAACGACTACATTGTAACTCTGACACGTTACTTCTTCCTCACACCGGAAGTAACACTCCTCAGGCAACCCAACGCGATACATTTTAAACATGTGACCTCTAAGGTACATCTCACCAAATGATCGTTCCTGCTCATGACACTGACCAGTAGCGTCAAGTATACTAATCCGGGAAATCAGAAGCATGATAGTCAGCCACAACTTTGGATTCATTCTGAGGTGACTGTGGTTGGCTCTTGCTCCACACTGATTAAGTACCTATCAACACAGTTAACGATGCTAAGATGAAGTTGTGTACTGTGTTAATTTCACGTGAAATTTATACCCCAATTCACCCTAGTTGAACACATGACTGTTCCGTTGGAGATTTCGATAAAGGTAATCATTGGCAGTATAAAGATGTGACACCGCCGTATAAGATGATATAATACGTCCAAAACTCTGCTAAAACCGATTACGCATCCCCTGAACGAATACTTGCGAGAATGAGGTGAAGAACAAAAGTAAGATTAGAAATTCTGCCAAATGACAAGAAAACCTAACTCGTCTTTGTTAATATTATTGAAAGATGATAATCGTCTCAGGTAATCGCACTAGGTCGCACTGAAAGGTACAATAGATATTAGATATCACAAAAAATAGACATTTCTTTCTTATCGACGGTTTCTCCTTTGTAGTGGTTGGTGTGAGTGCTTGCTCGTCGTTGTAATTTAAAACAGCCAGAAGAATACGATGATAGAGGTTTGCATGGGAATGCGTAACAGCTTCGCTTATGTCGTCGTGAAAATAGCTTTTACAAAGGTCAACAAGTATCACAAGGTAGAGTCACTTGAATCTTTAAGGCCCGGTTCAAACGTCGAACTTTACATGTGCTGAACCTAATACCTATTTGGGTCGACCCAAGTATAAAAGTTCGACAGTTGATTCAGACGTCAAACCAAAATGCCGAGTAGCAAAATAAAACCATTACGGTCAGCGGTTACTAATATGAACCCAAGAGGATTCAACATGGCGGAGTTTTCGGAAAATCGCGCGAAAAACAACTCGGAAGAATTTCTCATCGCTAATGCTATCCGTGAAGAAAGAAGAAGGCGCCTTAACGTGCAAATGGCGTTAAACCCCCTAGTTGCTCTGAGGAGGAGAGTTTTAAATGCTTGTTTTCTTGTTTTGCTGTTTATTTCATCGCAACGAAACAACATCACTCCCGTGTCTCGCTCCTTCCGTCGGTTGAGCAGAAGCACTGGATGGTGGGAGGATGCTTGGAACAATTATTCGGAGGCAAGATTCAAGAAAACATTTCGGATTTCTCGGTCAACGTAAAATGGGGTTGACAGGCTTACACGAGTCCCCAGCGCGTGTTAAGAATAGCCTATTCAAAGTTTGGCCCTCACGAGTATGTCTTTGAGCGACCGTCTCCTTTTGTAAGATACGAGGGGTGGATTTTTGTATATTTCGCTCAGTAGTGTTTGTGTTTCTATTAAATGCCAGTTTCTCATGAGAATTTGCTCTAGGTTTGGCACTGATGGTTGGTATTGTGTAACAAAACGCAAGATTCCTCTTTACCCGCCATTTTTTTCGAATGTAATCTTATGCGCATGGCAACTACCTAAAAAACTAGTGGGATTGTGGAAAAAAAATTACTAATTTAGTATATTTATAATGTATACATTAGGCTCGGCACACGTGAAGATCGACGTATGAATCGAAGTCGATCTTTTGCCGTTCTATTTGACAAGCCCAGTCGAATAGAACGGCAGAGTCGACTCTAATACAAAAGCGTCGATCCTAATTGATTCAAACGTCGAACTTTACATGTGCCGAACCTAATTAGGTTCGGCACATGTAAAGTTCGACGTTTGAACCGGGCCTAACTCTCTCTTCTCGGTAGCATCAATTAGCTCTTGTTTGAATAAATAATTGGTCTGCAAATATTTCTTAATCATTTTGTCTGGCGTTTTGTTTATGGCATAGTTTTCGGATAACGAGATATTCTCTGGTAAACGCGACGATTGGAATAAAGAACTTTTTTTGTGCCAAAGTTGTGTCAGCTATAGATGATATAGAGCCCTAAAGAGAACAAAATTGTTCTTAACTACGCCTCGAGAGCTTTTCTTGCCAGCTAGAATAAGTGTCTCATTTGACTTCAGTTTTTTTGAAGGAGGAAAGAGAAGATTTACACACGCCATTGCAGCAAGCAAACAAGCAGGTTCTCACGACCGCTCAAAAACTTACATGTAATTTTACTGACAACTGAGGTTTAAAACTGAGCAGAGATAACTCTTCGTAGATTAATCGTATTTAGAAGGAAATAATATTTTCCGTAAGATCTATGAAGAAGAAAAATTCATCGTAATAGTCATTTACCTCGAGTTTACTTGCTAAACCGATGCTGTTGGTTTTTCAAAAGTATACAAGGGCTTCTTTTTCTTTTCTTACGCGCTTTCTAATTGACATTTGTCAGATCGTAACAGAGATTTATAAAAAGAAATGTTTTAAAGTTTGCCTGGAGGCCTTTTAAATCACCCCAATCACTACGTGGAAAAAATGTACCGGTAAAGCCTCTTTATTTAATCAGCATTAGCTCCGTTCTCTCTTTCCTATATTGGCTTAAACATTGTTCCGTTTAAGGAGGATCTTCCCGTTACTACAGCTCTGTATTATTAGGGTTCATTTGAAAAGCATTTCGTGAAGTTTATAGAAAAAAGTCATGAATGGTAGTCACCAGCCTAGGTCGAACTGTACTGGGAGTCTCCAAATATTCATTGATAATAAACGAAACTGCCTTAACGGGCCGGAGCACTGTTATGGGAACTGTGGTTTTATCAACTGAGTTGATAAATGTAAATTGGCTACCGGAAAGAGTTTCAAAGCTGACATTTCGAGCGTTAGCCTTTCCTCAGACTGAAGTTATGGGAGGTTTACCCAAATAAATAACAAAAGGACCTTTTAGACGATCTTGTAAATGCATTGGAGATATCTTTCCTTACCTCAAGTCAGCTCCATTTACGTCAGCTGAAATTTGTCTTTAAATTTTGAGTGGGTTCTACTAAGCACCAATGATAGCCCAGTTTTGAGTACTTCATCGCAAGAAGCATGCGATGCTTTTTCGTGAATTTTCCTCCAACTTCCTTCGTGTCTCAATGAAATGGACGTACTTGGCGAGAGAACTCTATAGTGTTGTCCCGCTCCTAACTTCGAATCATGGAAACTAGTTAGCGTCGCAAAGGTTGCTGGGAGAATGAAATTGGTTGGGACTTTAGAGCTTGCTTTCAGCTTGGAGAATTTCGTCGTGACTCGTTAGATTGTGGACAGTTGTGAGGTAACAATGAATGCTTTTAAACCTGTAATACTGCCAGCAGGCTAGAAATAAAACTTGAATGTTTGGAAGGTCCTGCTGATCTGATCAACGGTGGAGAAAGACCTTAGTATATGGTTCTCAGTATGGTATTGGAGTGTTTTGTCTAACTGAGGCAGGGGAAAAACAAATTGGTTGGTCCCTGAAAAGGACCGACCAATTTTCGGTGCCGTTCGAAAGGCATTCGAGTTGCCAAACTTTGATGCCAAAATTTACAGTGCAAAGGGCAAAAATATGGGAGACAAGCTTACCAAGATAACAATTTTTTTATAATTTGTGAGGCTTTGTGAAATACAATTNCGATTTCAGCAAACGATAATTAATATATAAGGAATAACAGGATAGGAAGGAGAGCTTCCAGCTTCCCTGCCTGCTTAAAAGCAGGTGGCAATGAAGGCTGTGTTAATTCTTGTCGATTTAGACTAAGAAATGAGATGGAAGGCAACAACAATGACACAGAGATACAAGCTAATGTTGCGATATTATCGTGAGGCAATTGTCTAAGTAACATTGATTTTGCGATTCTGAAACGTTGCTTCCACATCTGTCTTTAAAACAATAATGAAAATCAAATCATCCAAAGGCCAGAAGATGTTGCCTCTGAAATTTGAGATTTATGTAATCGTGCAGATTGAAGAAAAAAACTAAAAAAATAAAAAGGAAAAGAAAAGAAAAAGTCTGCTTAGAATCGCAAATGCAAAGAGGTAGTTGAGGGAACCCCCAACTTACCTCTTGATCCAGAACGTTTCATGTAAAATCTCTTCTGATCTGGTATGAAATCTTCTGGTCTTGCTTCCTTTGTACGATTGTTCAGTTCGCAGATGTTTTGACCAACGACGACATTGTAACTCTGACACGTTACTTCTTCCTCACACCGGAAGTAACACTCCTCAGGCAACCCAACGCGATACATTTTAAACATGTGACCTCTAAGGTACATTTCACCAAATGATCGTTCCTGTTCATGACACTGACCAGTAGCGTCAAGTATACTAATCCGGGAAGTCAGAAGCATGATTGTCAGCCACAACTTTGGATTCATTCTGAGGAGACTATGGTTGGCTCTTGCTCCAAACTCATTAAGTACCTATCAACACAGTTAACGATGCTAAGATGAAGTTGTGTGTTAGTTTCAAGTGAAATTTATACCCCAATTTACCCTAGTTGAACACATGACTGTTCCGTTGGAGATTTCGATAAAGGTAATCATTGGCAGTATAAAGATATGACACCGCCGTATAAGATAATATAATACGTCCAAAACTCTGCTAAAACCGAATACGCATCCCTTGAACGAATACTTGCGAGAATGAGGTGAAGAACTAAAGTAACATTAGAAATTCTGCCAAATGACAAGAAAACCTAACTCGTCTTTGTTAATATTATTGAAAGATGATAATCGTCACAGGTAATCGCACTAGGTCGCACTGAAAGGTACAATAGATATTAGATATCACAAAAAATAGATATTTCTTTCTTATCGACGGTTTCTCCTTTTGTAGTGGTTGAATATACTAAATTGCTAATTTAGTATATTCATAATGTATACATTAAGCTCGGCACACGTGAAGATCGACGTATGAATCGAAGTCTATCTTTTGCCGTTCTATTTGACAAGCTCAGTCGAATAGAACGGCAGAGTCGACCCTAATACAAAAGCGTCGATCCTAATTGTGCCGAACCTAATTATTAGGTTCGGCACATGTAAAGTTCGACGTTTGAACCGGGC